GATCTTTGTGCGAGTTAGGTTTACAAGCAGATCAGAGTAGCGGAACGAAGTAAATAAAGCTGACAAGGAACTGTTCATCTAGAGAAAGTGAATTGAATGAAAACCCATTGTTTTTTTATTTTTATCTTTACTCAGTAATCTCTACGGCTGAGAGCTGTTCGTCCCCAACTAACATAGCTCCTACGCTGCCAATTAATGAATTCATAATGCGAATAATTCATGATGCGAATAATTCATGATGCGACTCCTTCCTTCCGAAATGTCATATATTTGAATAGCCTTGCAGAGCATAATTTACATACAAAGAAGAAATTGCACGCCTTGCATTACATTGAGAATTGCACGTCAACATCTTGAATAATGTATTTGAGTCTGTGAGTTCGTCGGTGACTCGTCTCGACTCAGGAGACATTAAGCTTCATTTTCATTTGAAAAGGCGATGATGTTCAGTCAGGGCATTCTTACCTGGACCTTTCTCGTACTCCGTCCATGAATATGGTGTCCCCAGATACTATCTAGCATTCCTGAGAGCCAAGCAGCATTATCTGCTTCGTACGGATTAATCTGTGCCCGTCGACGGTCCCTGGCGTGAACAGCGATTCATTCGCTCACTCTCATCCCACCCCATCCCAGCTTATAGGAGTCGCGTCTTTCGATCCCGAGGGAATCGACTCGAGCTCGGCTGATGGAATGCCGAGTCTCGAGGGACGGGGCTCGCGACGTTGGCCTTCCACCTCGTAAGAAGAGTGCCGGCTGGTCTCACTTTCGGTCATCTAGGACCGAGAGACTCATTTTGGAAGTCACCTAGGTGTCATTCGAGAATCGTGATTAATCAATACAACGACGGGACTTGAGATATTTCGATCCTTTGCTCGACCTGGAGGCTCTCACAGATGGCGGCACTCCGCTTTGTAGCCTAGCCTCTATTTTTCATTAAGCGTTGTTCGTTGGTCTGCCTGGGGTCTCGAAATGCATTTTCATCGGAATTTGTAGTCACTTAACTGATGAAAACCTCGAGAGATCTTCGTCGTCACCTCAGCCCGACGACCTAATCTTGAACTGAAATGAGATTAAAAAAACCGTGAATTTTGCGAACGGCGGCACGTAGCCACGAAAAGAAGCCAAGGAGGCTGAATGCACTGCAGTCTCTTTCGTGACGTGACACCACATAGACCAAGGCTGCATATATATACAGGTTACTCATCATTGTATGCAATACTTGCGCATTGGATTTTGCTTCTGGCTAGACATCTTTCCCCCTTTCCTCCTTTCCTCGTTTTCCCTTTTCAACTCTTGTTTGGACCGGAATTGCATCTAGGCATGGACTGCAGAAAGGGATATTGCATCCGTTCCGTTAGAAGAGAAAGGAAAGGGGAGAGGTCCCACAGGCCAGAGAATGGGATGGAAAGAAAGGGCCGTGCAATCGTGACAGCGGCCGGAAATTGTGCTCGTTTTTCCCCCGAGAGGACAAGCGAAGCGACACTCCTCATTAGACGAACCCTTTGCATTATGTAGATTTTTGACCTTCCTTCCTCGTCTGTTTTCCCATCCTCTCCCGTGGCCTGTACTTGCAGTCCCGTCGCCGACGCCGACCCGACTGTTGCTCGCAAGCTTTCTCTAGTCTTCCGTTTTTTTCGTTAAAAATAATTCTCGCCGCTTTCCTATATAAATTTCACGAAGGGATTAATCTCGGGAAATGTATTACCAGGCGCAACGTAATTGCATTAGACCCTTCACACCAGGAGAACCAGGGACCGGTCGTAATTCATTCTCCGTATCAATAAATCATTCGAAGGAAGATGTGGATTGATTGCTCCTAGCTTTACAGCTGGTAATGCTATCCATCACCACGAATAACAACCGCCTCGACGACCTTGTCGTTCAAGCCGTTTGAACGCAGTCTAAAAATAGAACGGCCGCAGTTGCGAGACCGGCTCTGGGCGAATGTGCATGCTAAGCGGGGAAACAGATATTGTGCCGAAAGTTATGAAAAGACGAGGCCCTGCAGGACATTAGCATACAGATTGAGATGCTTCACCTCTTTCTCTGGCGAGGTGCCTGAGAGGAACGTTCTTTTTTTGTTTCGCGGCACCCGTCGACACTTCGCGCAAACTTTATGACGGCCCAGTATTTGATTGACCTTCAAGGTCGACGTCTGGGGACGAAAGACGGGTGATTTTTCACCGGCCCTGACTCCGGGCTTGTTGTTTTTGTCTCCCGGCGAGGACGAAGGAGAGAGGATCCACTCGGGCTCCAGCTGCAAAAACAAACTCTCATCCCGTAAACTGAATGTCAATAGAATAAGCACGAAAGAAGGAAGAGTCTCAGGGGGTGAGAAAACCCGAAATACAACAAAAACTTTCCACTCGTGAGTTCCCCGGGGCAGAATGAGAGGGATAAAAGCACTTCATAGTACGGAGGGGTTCGCATGATCGAATGAGTCCGATCCATAGACGGAATGAACGTCGACCAAAGTATCTCTCTCTCTCTTACCCCGGCACAAAAAGGGAGGCAGACACTAATGAAAAAGGGGAGGGAAAAGTAAGGGGAGCGAAGAAGGAGAAGAGAATAGAGAGGTTGGTCTCCGAGGCTGTCAGACGGAAATGGAGTCTCATGGAAAAGACCTTGAAACGGCTCGGATACTTCGACACATCGTGATTGAAGAGTATCCTTCTTCACTATGCTTTATTCCTTTTCTTTGCCCCACTCGTTTCCGGGGAAGGGATGGGGGGGGGGGGAGCAATTTCACCGTACCCTAACCTGAATGCAAATTGTTTCAGGATAAATCTAAAAATATGTATTTAATCCTTACACTTTGGATAACCTGTGAATATTATTATATTAGATTTTTCCCAATGATGATTTACATTTGATATAAAATTGCCGCAATTTTGCTAAATTTAGCTATTTTTCGCATAATATATCTCCAATGTAAAAAGTTTTTTTTAAGTGTCCGTGATTCCCTTGGACAGCTTCTATCACCTTGTGCAGTTTCTACTTTCTTACGCAGTCTCACATTTTTGCAGTAATTGTGTTCCCGACGTGACTGACGCGTCACGTCGTCACACTTCCTCACTGTCTGAGCCATGAATATCTTAGAAATAAAACAGGTATGCTGAATAATTTTATGGTCCACCAAGGGTATCAGAACTCAATTCAAATTAAATGACTACTAGGAAACAGTTATCAGACTATAGTAATATAGTTGTCTATTGGTAATTATTACAAGAAATATCAATGATTATTACCTAAGCGCAGCATGAGATTCTGAGTGACAGAAACCGTCTAAATAGCACAGTTATGACGATCTCGTCAAATTATTAAAACATTTGGAAAGTATTGCACCGACAGCATTCGAATTACCTCCGCGTGAGCAAAGCCCATGCTGCAAAATTCGGCATTAGATCACCCAACGAAGACCCTGTCCCACAGGAATTCATGCAGTAAAAGGAATTTGACGCTTGTTGAAATTTGTCCCCCGAGACTTTCATACCGTCGCTGCATTCCTTTTCCCGAAGAGAAACTGCGCGAATCGCTTCCCAGTTCTTCATAGATTTCGGCGCTCACCTAGGAGCTGCCCGGCTTCACTAATCTTTGAATCAACCACAGCCAGGGGAAGAGGGGGAAGAGGGGGAAAGGGGAATCATGACACGACTGTGCTGACCCTCTTAGAAATAAAGAAACAAGAAATTGGTAAATGATGGGCAGAAGCGAATGATAAGACGGAAATTTTGCTAGTCATTTTGCATGACTAGTGGTCATGAAAAATGATGGTATTAATACATAATTTCCTTAACTTTTGTAAAGGAAATTATGTGCCATCCGATGTGAAATTTAAAAAAATGCTGACACCAAGCTGAAATTTTGTACATAGCATACTTCCAAATGAGGCAATGTCACTGTTAAATTTAGATATGGGATGATAAGAACTTTATGAGCATTCCTAATAGTTAGCTATTTGAAGCGACAAGCAAAGCCTAAGCCTCGTTTAGGAATTACTTAAGCCAGAATTCAGCTAATTTCAGACGAAACATGATAATGAAGTATACTCTCTCCTTTAGAAGGTAGGAGCAATCAGAGTGATATGCATAGATACCAACTCTGGACAAAACACGAACACTCAGATGATTAGGAAAGTGATTCCAAATGAATACTTAGGCTGGAAAGGTCATTGCAAACATTTTTCACCTTACAAAAACCCTGCAGGAAACTTCTGTCATTTGGTCAAAGAGGGGAACTTACAAGGGTATCACCTAGGTATAGGTACCATTCAGCATGCCTTGCTGAGTGCCAGAGCATGTCATCTATTTCTAGTGGAAATACAACTATGTGGAGATTTCTACCAGTCATAGCAAACATGTCAGACTAAGAAAAAAAAATGAACTACACATCATGATAGGGACTGTCCAGTAGAATCAGGGAGACTTGAAAATTTTCATTTAATATACATTATATATTTCATGCACAGTCTCTGAATTTCAAAAAACAAAAAAAAATTTTTTTTTTAAATGTGAATTATCATTGGGATAAATTCACAGAGGGACTGGGTTTTCCCTTAGACATATTAAATTCATGCTAGAGTGGCGAAACAGTCAACTCTTTTGCCCAATAGCCATCTTTGCCTGTTAACGAAGGGCACAAAATGGCTTCTGGAAAAAACAGGTGCTTCATGCTACATTTATAATGTCCCACAATGCATTTCTTACCAGGAAATCTGAAGAGGTTCTCTGCCCTTTGCCAAAGTGGTCTATTTTCCCAAACATATCTCAGAGAATGCATTGCACTTCACTGATCAGTTGCTACAATGGTGGGATTTGAAGGAAGAAGATTAACAGCATCCAGGGAAGCTTCAAATCTGATGGAAAGGAGTAATTAAATAATTTTTCTTTGCAAGTTACACTTCAGCCTCATTATATGAAAACCATATATCAGCATCAATCCAATCAATAGTTTCCTTTATTTCTTCTTCTGTAATAAAATGACAAAATGAGCAATGAATAGGGGAATGACATAGATTCTACCACTCTAATAATAAAAAGCCTCTAAAAAACTAAAAATATTATGTCTCTATAAAATTTCACATTATTGCAAAAACTATACTTCATTCAAGAAAGACCATTTGTTCATTCAGATCACCAAGCAACAAAGTAAAATGGATATAAAGCAGATTTTGATTCATGAATGGAACTGAGATATAAGAGAAGAAAGAATGGAAATTCAATATTTAGTAATAGATGCGTTGATCAATGCCTTGATCTTTGACTAAGCTGGCAATGTCCTTTTCAAAGGTGAAGACATGGTCACCAATGGGTAAAAAGTGGGATACAAAGAAGGAGTTCAACTTCTCAGTCCACTTCTTGTCATTGTGCAAATTCAGCAGCACCTCTGTTAATTTCGACTTCAGCTCCCCTGTCATCCAAAATACAGAACAATCACATTCACATAACAAACATTAGCAAGCAGACACAATATTAAACATGAGAATAAACATGAAACTGATGCATTTTTTAGTTACCTCCATTCCAGGATTTGCTATAGAAGAGCAGTTTTCCAGCATGACTGAATCGTAGTGCCAGTTTTTTAAATAAAAAAAATGTAGATGCCTTTAAAAGTTTAAAGCACTATAGGAGATAACCATCTTTTTTTTCATGGCATGTCTGTGAAAGAGCAAAACAAAGGTGTGCCTTCTCCAATGATGGATTGTATTCAAAACTGCCTGCCTAGTCAATTTTGCAATATTGGTAGTCCTAAGTGGCAACAAAAAAAGTGTCTACAAAATGTATGATTCTCAAAGGAAAAGACAATAAAAACAAAAACTTTTAGACAACAGGAAGCTTGCAGGACATTCAGTCAGCCAGTCCACATTAACCCTTATCCAGGCAATGGGAATCCATTGGACTCCACAATGGTATATTTCATTGCATTACCCTCTTGCAATTTAAAAAAAAAAAAAAATTTAACAGTAAAACTACCAAAAGTAATTCTGACTGCTCACCAATTTTTAATGCACTTTACTATGCTCCTTTGGCAACTGAGTGCCTCCAGTTTTTAATTTTCCTAATATCAACATTTTGAACATACAAAATGAAATCTGGAAAAAGCATATAAAATTTACTTTTGCATTCCTCCATAAAAACATTGGGCCAACCTTAAAGGAAAAACTCTAAAGCCTATTTCCTTGTCCACATTTTTGTCAGGAATAATGGGATATAGCTGGGCTCGACCCAAAGGAGAGATTAAGAAAAACTACTCAATATAAACAATTATGATGCAATAAATGCATCAGTTTTCCATAAGCTTCTCTTCCAAATAAGCTTCTCTTCCAATTAAGCTTCTCTTCCAATTAAGCTTCCTTGAATTTTTCTTATACACTGCCTTTGCTTTGCAGGCTTTTTGCATGTAGTAAACTCACCTAGAAGCAGGGAAGTTATTTTTAAGGAAAGTTATGTCACATTTTTATGTTGTTACATAAAGAAGTGACAAGAAAGTCATAATTTGATCCATGAAAACTGGACTTGTTGCCAAAAGAAAAAAAGGCAAGATGACCCACCTGGTAAGCTCTTGCTAACAACAATGGCATAAGGAGGAGTGGGACCCCAAGTGTCAACGACAGAGATCTCAGTGGCCAATCTGGGATTGTGTGCAGCCCAATTGGCTAGGGCATTTGCATCAACAGCAGATGCCTCTGCCTGCTTCATTAGCACCATGTTGATGGAATTCACATGACTACCCGATACCAAATGATCCCCAAAGAAGTTTGAGGTCTCTCCAAGCTGCTTCAACTTGTATGTGGCCAAGATGGATGATGAGATGGATGTACTATATGTGTAAGCCCACTTGCAGCCACGCAAGTCCATAAACTCCTTTATGCGATCTCTGCAATAGGTTTTAAAAATTTCCAATAAATTACCAGGTGAGAATAATTTTGTTGTTCACAACTAAAGATCTGAGTTACATCAACTTCACTGGAGTCTGCTGCATTTAAACAAATGATATAAGTTTGCAGTTATATATAGCATTTATAAATCCCTAGAGCAAAGTGAGGCCTGCAATGTAAAAAAAGAAATGCTTGTATTGCTTAGCAAATATAAACTGGAAATAAAGATGACCACTGGAACACCACCTCTCACAAAGCTGAATGAATTTAAAAAAAACTTCACAATAACCATAGTGAAGCATTAGTTGACTCCACTTTGCAATTTTGACATGAAGTTCCTATATCAACTTTTTTCATTAAATTTTTTTCACTCTAACTGTAATCCAAAAGATGGGTAACATTTAACATTTTAGGAAAGGTTCTCCAATTCATAATAATAGTAAAAAGAGTAGTAACCTGGAAAAGTAGTTACATAGGGTGAGATGAATCTCCTTTTAAAAATTAGATGTTCCATTTCGTTAAGAACTTGAATACAATTATTTATTTGATGCTAATTGTTTTTTAATCTTCTTTGCCAAGTGGATCTTGGTATCTTATAATGTTGTTCCATGTATCTTTGTGACATCTCACCATTTTTCAGGCAGCTTCAGGCACTCTGGAGTTTTGGTAGGGCCTGGTACTGGTCTTGCATTTATATTTTTGCAGAGTTAAAAGGTTAAGCATTAATTTAGACTTACATCAGCAAAAAAAATTCCATAATACCTTTTATACTTATTTGAAAAGCAAATCTAGAGCATTAGACTCTCTAGTTATGGAACTGGAGCTTAAAAATGTGATAAAACAATGAAAACTGTAGATATTGTGGATAATTGAACCTTTATTTGTTTTTGGATTCATCTCACCCCATTCTATACCTTGAGTGCTCCTCCTTGAAAAAATCCTTGATGGGTATCAGAAACCCCTAAATTCTCAAGAAAGGGAGATGGAATCTTGGTATTTTAGGAGGAATCCTCTCATTCCAATCTATCTCCACAAGGCTAACAATTTTCAAATGACCATGAAATCCTGTTATATCATCTAAGGCAGTGGTTCCCAAACTGTGGGTCGTGACGGGCATCAAATACATTTTCTCAGTATAAAAAGTCATTATATCTGCATTTGCTCAGGATAAAACATGCCCTGCCAAAAAGTTTGGTCAGTTTTCTTCACTTTGTAATTAATTTGAAAATACTTCGTTCTAAACACCAGTGGGTCGCGAAATTTTCTGTAAGTCAGCAAGTGGGTCGTGATTCTAAGAAGTCTGGGAACCACTGATCTAAGGCACTCATATAGACCTTAAGTAACTGCTCTTCATGGATCCTCTTACTGACCTATAGGATTCTCAATCCCAACATATCCATAAAGTGGGCAAATATAGATTCCAAAATGGTATCATAATACAGCTAAACCATTCCTTTTGATAACAGAAAGAACACTTCATTCAGGCAAGTGAACAATACTTTCCCACAAACTTCAACGGGGTTGTATACTTTGAGGGAGTACAATGATGTTGAAGAATGAAAAATGTCAATTCCTTGGTCTTCTTTTCACAAGCAGGGATACATGAGGTGTTATGGTGATGTACAGGGTGTCTCAAACAAAAATTAATGCAGTAATAATGAATTTCTCTTAAGTCATTTTGAATAACAAATGTTGTATCACTTAAAATGAGAAGAAATTAAGCTTTCTTCTGCTGAAAGCCGGATAAAAATTGACAACTGAAACATGATATGGAACAGTGAAAATTAGATTCTGAGAAATTCACACACCATCACTGAAGGTGTGCTCTTCTTGACACCAGTACGCCCTCAGGTGCTTCAGTGCAAGATTTTTCTACTGATTACAGCTGTTCCTGCTTTGATTCTGAGATATGAGGGAGAGGAAAATGAGAACTTCTTTGAGTGCTTGCATAGCTGGATTCTCTTTTATACATTAGATAAAAGAACAGTTTTCAACTGTACACTATATTGCACTCACCACATATATTTTAATGCAGTTTGCAGCAATTGAAAGAGGAATGAAGAAACTATAATATAGTGTATGTGCATTTAAAATACTTTTTACAGTTTCAGAAATTCTGGAGCTCATATAAACAACAAACAAAAACCACATTGACACACTCAAACAGACAACATATGACCTTCAGTCACTGCCTATCCATCCTTTTCCCATCCTGTAGCAATGTAATTTTTGTTCGATGTTCATGAACTCCAGAATTTCTGAAATAAGCATAAAAGATTATGGCATTTTTTTTAGCTAATATTAAAAATGAATGCCTTAACCTTTTTACTATAGTAAATTATTACATTATATTTATATTACAGTTTTTCCCAATTGCTAACGTCCGTTTCTCGAAATTATACTTCCGTTTTCAAATCTATTTGAACAAATCCCAAAACTCTGCAAACTTTTCACAAAACTTAACATCCGATTTCATTGCTAACGTACGAAATGCGAAACGCGATTTTCATATCTTTACGTACCTTTCTCGAAACCTAACGTACGGAAAAGGATAAGAAAACCGATTCGACGAGTGCGGACGATGGATGCATGGCTGACGACGGCAATCTCTATCCTCCAAAATTCCTTCCAACCAATCACAGAGGTTTTCTCCTCGTCCATAGTCGCCAGAACTGAATGCTCCTTCTCAAACGTTGAAATTGTTTCTTACGTCGATACAGCAATGTAGTTGGCAGGCAATAATGCCGACTGCTATTCAGAAAAATCCAAAATACCTGATCCTGAGTATTTACTTACGATTAATTTGTTGCAATATAATCAACTGAGAAAAAAAGTTGGAAAAAGAGAAAAGAGGTCATTTCACGGTCGTTTTTGTTTATCATAAGTTACGAAATTGTTATGACCTTGGGACCCATTTTTTGTTCGTAGATATGAGTGCTCGTTGCAAAAATCTCATGTTATGACCTCCAAATCTTTCCAACTTATGCTCGCTCTATTGGCTAGTTGAGGGGTTTTCGACCGGATACAACGCCCGTCACCCTTTTGAATGACGGCACAAGTCAAGTGACTTCTCAAAATAATAGTCTGACTTCATTAGGGTGTGGGAAGATAGTAATGGGCTCGACCGGCAGAAACCGTGATCTGTTGTGGAGCAGAAATTTGCAATATCCCGTTCAACGAAGGCGAGAGGAGAAGAATGGGAGGGGGGGGGGAGGAGTTTGAGTGCTTTCAAGCAGCACCTCGTCCATATATCTCACGGGAAGTAATCTCAATGGGCGGTTTGATGATTTTACAGGAATAAATCTATTTTGATTTGATCCCGGTTGATCACTGTTGAAACACCTGCCGTATACACATCCACTCAACAACCGAGCCTAGATTGTATAAGTTGTCAGAATAGAAGTTAAGGACAAGAGAAGTCCTCATTGTATGATCCGGAAAACTATAAAAATATTTTATGAACAACAAATATCAGAGAGAAACGACGTCAGTGTATTGGCACGAGCACATCATTGGCCAGATCTAGCCCCATCTATTATATTAAAATTTTCATAAGGCATTACGTACCAAACGTCCTTCACTGAAACATATTTTCCAATAGAACACATTGCTGGTGTCCTTTAGAACGAATTTAAGGCACTCTCGTCAAAACTTAACGTCCTTGCCTCAAAAGTAACGTACGCTCCATTGTTTGACATTGGGGGGGTTCTGGTCGATTTCACCAGATATGGCTGACAGGGCGGGCATCGATCCAAGAGACTCGTCGCTTTCCCATTCACAGTAATGGATCGTCCTGAGAGTTTTGCCGAAGGTGCCTTAAGTTTTGACTCCAGGTACGTTAGAAATTGATCGTAGGACGTTCTGTTGTCCCTTTTGGAGAGCGGAAATTGAATCTCGACAGCAGTACGCACAGTTTTGACACGGGTACGTTACATTAGGGTGTGGGAAGATAGTAATGGGCTCGACCGGCAGAAACCGTGATCTGTTGTGGAGCAGAAATTTGCAAATTCCCGTTCAACGGAGGCGAGAGGGGAAGAATGGGAGGGGGGGGGGGGGAGTTTGAGTGCTTTCAAGCAGCACCTCGTCCATATATCTCACGGGAAGTAATCTCAATGGGCGGTTTGATGATTTTACAGGAATAAATCTATTTTGGTTTGATCCTGGTTGATCACTGTTGAAACACCCGCTGTATACACATCCACTCAACAACCGAGTCTAGATTGTATAAGTTGTCAGAATAGAAGTTGAGGACAAGAGAAGTCCTCATTGTATGATCCGGAAAACTGTAAAAATATTTTATGAACAACAAATATCACAGAGAAACGACGTCAGTGTATTGGCACGAGCACATCATCGGCCAGATCTAGCCCCATCTATTATATTTAACATTTTCATAAGGCATTACGTGCCAAACGTAACTGAAACACTGAAACTGAAACATATTTTCCAATAGAACACATTGCTGGTGTCCTTTAGAACGAATTTAAGGCACTCGCGTCAAAACTTAACGTCCTTGCCTCAAAAGTAACGTACGCTCCATTGTTTGACGTTGGGGAGGTTCTGGTGGATTTCACCAGATACGGCTGACAAGGCGGGCATCGATCCGCGAGACTCGTCGCCTTCCCATTCACAGTAATGGATCGTCCTGAGAGTTTTGCCGAAGGTGCCTTAAGTTTTGACTCCAGGTACGTTAGAAATTGAACGTAGGACGTTCTGTTTCGACTTTTGAGGAGCCGAAATCGAATATTCACAACAGTACGTACGGTTTTGGCATGGGTACGTTAAGTTTTGAAAGTTATCATTCATCGAGAAATCGCAAATACGCATATAAGGGCATTGTGCATTACCCTAGCCTGGCCTATAGTTGCGAGAAGCTCACATAGTTTTCCAACATGGAGTCTCAAGGGTGAAATTAACGCGGATCATGAAAATACTTGAAATATTGAGCTCGAAAAAAAGAGAAACCCATGTCTGGACTCCAGAAGTCTTCGTGACCCTACGAAAAAAAAGTTTATTCGCTGTGAAACCTAATAATTTTTACTTATCATTATAAATTGCGTCTATTGGGCCTTACAATTCGTTATAGTGGATTTCTTTTCATTTCCATACTAGAAGCAGTGACATTCACATGCATATTACATCTTCATGGTTCAGGAGAGTTGGAGTTTTCCCCTCAGTCACACATCATCATCTTTTTATTTTATTTCTGTATGATACATAAGCCAGAAATCTATGACAAGAAGGAATATTGAAGGTTCCAAACGATGCATTTTATCGCATGACGCTAATTTCAGTTTAAAAAATAAGAGAAACCAGCTGAAGGGACTCTTTCTGCTTCTATTCCAGCCTTCTAAAGCAATATTGTAAGCGGAATGCATATTGAGATTGGGGGAATCTTCAAATTATTTATTTTCACGGTCTCTTCTTGACTGTCTGTAGACATTCCTTACTCCGTACGTTAGAATAATGAAGAGCATACTTTGACTTTGATAAAGGGACACACTTTTGACTGTTGGACACTTGGATGTGAGAAAAGAGCACAGAGTTTTGCGGATCGTACGTTAAGTTTTGAAAAATGTCCATCAAGATATGAAATAGGACTCTAGCAAATGGGAAAAACTGTAAAGCTCATTCATTCCTCTTTCAAATGCCACAAACTACATTAAAATACAGGGTGTCCCGTAAGTCTGGAACCATGGGGCAAAATGATAACTTGTATTCACAGAATGTGTTCAATGTGTCCACCATTATGATTGATACACAAATGCAGACGAGGTATCCAGTAAGCAATCACAATTCAAATGGTGTCAGGAGTGATGGTGTTACATGCATCAATGATGCGCTCCTGCATATGTGCAGCACTTACTTTACCATATGGTTCCAGACATATGGGACACCCTGTATATGCAGTGAGTGCAATATAGTGTATTGTTGAAAACTACTAGTTTTTTTTGCCATCTGGTATTGGCTGCTTGCAGTGTTCATTAGCATGTCTGAATTTGGCTAATGTAAACCTTGTCTTTCCATAGCACACTTCTCAGTTCATTGATCTTTATCCAATCTTAAGCAATATAAATTTAAAATCTTCTCACTTCAACTGCTGCAAAATTTTCCATTCAAATTAAAAATAACAAGAAAATCAATTCTGGAAACAATATTTTGAGACACCCTGTACTGAAATGAAGGAACACAATGAAACAGCACATAGGTTCACCAATAGAAATGAAGCTCCATCATCTCTCAACACCATAACTGGACCATGCAAAACCTTGATTGCATTTGCCTATACCTTTGCAATTGTGTTTGTATGCCAAAGTCTGTCTAAATCAATCCAATGGTTCTTCACTCATAGCAGACTTATGGACATACACACACACAGCAGGTGTACACATGCAATAACCTGAAAATACACTGAGAGCATGGAAATTTAAGTAGACCTTCAACTAAATTATATTTTGCCCTGCTTATGAAAATAAGTATGACAAGGAATATTGCCTGGATGTCATGGAGATGGGATAGTCATCTATACAAGATCTAGGCATGAAAAAGAAACAATTACCAGTCAATACAAGCTGGCACACAGACCTGCTTTGGTGAAAATTTAGGGTTTCCTTCTCTCTTTTCACTCTTTTTAGTCTTAGGACTTTTTTAGTCACCATTTTTCTTTTAATTTAGTTTGCATGAGTAAATAATTTCAAAAAGATTAGATGTAACATGTATATACTAATGGAGGAGGATGGATAGGCATACCTGGTATCAGAATGAACAATGACATCCACCAGAACACCTGGTATTGTCAGTTTCTTCTTATGTATATGGACAGAGGAGACAGGAAGTAGTTCCACTGACATCCACTTCTCCTCCTTCATCCTCAGGTACCCTGAACTGCTCATAAATCCTGCAAAATAAAAAAACTAGGGTTCTTAAATCCATTGGTCATAACTGACCCATAACTCCCTCTCTGAATCTGGCAAATAAAAAATGAAACTCTAAAAGAGGAAAAAGAATTTCATGCACAGTCACATATGCTAAATGTTAATGCTGTCTTCATGTCATTTTTAATGAAATAACATGAGAGCATTGTACAGCAAATAGCTAACTGGCAAATCTCTGGCCTTACTGAAATTGCACTACAAATAGATTGATATGTTCACAAAATTCATCATACATTTAATCCAAAAATGTCATGCCAAAATTTGGATATGTGTGAATATTTTAAATAAATCAGGCATTAAAAATGGTTTGGGGACTTCAGTCACTCATCCACTTGCAAGTAACTGAAATCTGCAATAGTCTCCACCTCTAGTAAAATGACCAGAAACTATGGAAAAACTTGGAGCAAACTCTCTGCATTGCACACATTAAATTTTAATTGAGAAAAAAAAAAGCCTTAAGTGTGATTGAATTCAAATGGAAAATATCAAGGCAACAGTTGTCTCTGTTGGTAATTTACCATCAGGCCAAGTGAAGTTCTAATTAATTTTTTTTCAGTCTTGCACACAAGTCTATGAAATTTTCTAATACTAACAACCAGCATTTAATATACCAACCATATATACCCCCCACCTCCTTATAACCAGAAGGATACATTATCATTTTATGGTATTGAGAAAATGTCATGATATCCCTGTAATGATTGGTATAGGGTATGTCTTGTAATTGAATGGCCTCACATCACTGACCTATATCTCCAGATTGATTTTTTGCCTATTGATACCTTATGATGCTTAATGGCAAAATACCAATCAAGAGAATAAAACTGATGCAAGTTTTGAATACACCAAGATCACACTATCCAGTAATTGAGAAATTCTCTAAAAATTCTCTTCTTTCTAAAGAAGAAGATGCAATTTGAGATATACAGCAAAAACTTACCATGGCTAATCTGCAGCTTTTCAATGCTCAATTTTCAGTCAAATGGACCTTTTTCTAATGGAACTTAAGGTTTTAATGAATTTCTTTATTTCACATTGCTGGGAAGCAGGCAGAAAATGTTTGTGTCCTTTTTCCATATCCACGTTACTGGAACATTTTTCTATCAGTCTTTCACCACTTATTTCCAGTTAAATATAATAATTTACCAAGAAATACTTCTACAGATTTCAAATTAACTCTTCCTCAAAGAATGGCAATAAAAGGGTGAATATTCAGGACAAGTTTCATTCACCAATTACTCATCAGTAATCCATTATTAACTTATTCATCATCTGAATCTCCAACTGTTTCATGGATTTCATCAACTTCTCGCATCTTTTGAGGCTTGGATGACTCTGCCACTTACTTCCCCTTTTCTCCTGTCTGGCTTCTTCCTCATACTCACTTGAGCTTCAAAAGAATGGAATTATTCCACCAATATTTTTCAGCGATGCAGGTGCTAATGGAATATTCATGGAGGCAGCCATATGGAAATTTTTTTGGCAGTTAGCCTGCTATATAGTGAAAGCATAGGAAAATCTGCTTCTCCTTTGCTGAATACACATCTTAACTACATGCTGATCACCCTATCCTATGACAAGTCACCTAACGCAGTGCATGAACACAGACATGAAAATGGGGCATATGGGCACTTTTGCCCTTTTCCAGAGAACTCATTTGAAACTACTCCAAGTCCATTTCACATGAGCAATGCTGATCCATTGCACATGAACAATGGACTCAATGCTGTGGGATAGGACAATATATACAATACATTACTATAACAGTTTATTATTAGTCCAAGTGATGTCCTACACTCTATAAATGAACAAGGAGTTCCAAAAGGAGTAGTAGCAAAAGACCAAGGAATTTACTTGGCTAGGTTGCTTAAAAACATAATTTACATCATAATAAGCAGTTAACTTAATTACCTATGAAGGAGAGGTCATATTAGAGTGAGAGCTGTCTCATATTAACTGTCATAATTTGTAGGCTTGCACAAAAAATGTTAATTGATTACTTAATTTAAAAATTAGATTTTTCCCGATGCTACTTCTTCTCGGATTGGGCAACAGTCATTTGGACCAAAAGGGACCTAAATCTTTTTATAAATTTTTTTAATTACTGATAATTAAAAATTAACCCAAGTTCATTATGTCCATTGCAATTTTGTTACCTGCAAAGCAGATCCAACAGGATGCAGGTGTGGTTTAGTTAGGCCTGAAATAGCTGAGTACTTCTCAGAGTATTATTTGTAGATGGCATGTGTACAACATATGCATGACAGGAACAGCTCCAGCTTTCAAAGTTGGACATGTAATGATCAAGTGCCATACATGCCAGCTTTTTGTGCTTGTCCTCTCCTTCCATGACTCCTGAATCATGAGTTAACATAGGAAAAAATCAATTAGAGATTTGAGTACCCTCTAATTATAATTACCTTTTCTGAATATAATTAAAAACTGATTAACTAATTGAATATGCAGTCCCAGTAAAAATACTTTAAGCATTGAAAACAGTTCATTACTGACTCACTAAGAGCTTCATCTTCATTGTGCATCATTTATCATCTTCATGAAGAGAGAATGATAGATGATGAAATGTCAAAAGACAGCTAAATCAAGTGGGTATTATAATATTCTGATGATCAACCATGAAATGTAATGTATACTAATTCCTAAAATTCTTTCCAGGAAAAGGTTTTCAGATCACGAATATAAATAATACCACTACAATAAAATGAAAAAAAGGAATTAAACCAAAGGATAAAATGCAGGTGACAGACCAACATGGGCCCAGTCAGACTTGAAGGGATCCTCATGATCAGCAAGTGGACCCCCATTCCCCCTCGACTCATAAATGAGGGAGGTAGGAATTCCAAGCTTCTCTTCAAACAAATGTACCAGGGTCTCAAAAAACTCCACAGGTATGCTTGGCACCAGGTAGGTTATGCACCGCAGCTGAAAAGGATGCTTCTCGACCTCACTATTCATCATGTCAGATGGCTTTCAATCTCACCTGTACCTTTAGTGACCATGAAGCAGAAAAAACTGATTGATGTATTCCCTTGGAGATATTAGGCCTAAGCTTATCCCTTAGTAGGTCCAACTCAGATCTACGTCCAACCTAAACTACAAGACACAATATAACAATGATGTGCTAAGAATCCACTAGGATTCATAACTTTAATTCTCAAAATTAAAACAATCATACAGGCCTAAGCCTAATGGACACTTTCATATCCGTCGTTACGGTAGGCCTAATTTAAGAAAAGCACTCAAGCATCGGCATACACAGGCAGTAACCCTAAGGGGTAAAAGCGTTAAGTGGGGCACCAAGAACGAGTTCAACCTCTGGTCACACTTTCACGAGGAAATGAATCAAGGCGCAAATCAGGTCTGCAAATAATAGGCCACAACAATCGGCCGAAGCGACGACTAGTTTGCATAATTCATACCGTGAACACGAGGAAAGAGGTACGGCAAAGTCGAAGCTCCACTTGCCTTCTCTCGTCTGGGAGAGGCCTCTCGTCTGACTGATCTGATGGGTGGCATAGGGCGATTCGAGGCCATTGAGTGGAAGGAAAGGAATTAGTGTCAAGGAAGTGGATCGAGATGACGAGATTAAAGAGAGGAAAGGAGCGAGCGCGACCTTGGCCAAGGGCAACATGAACTCGATCACTCTGTCCCCGAGGGCGCGGGCATATCTTTCAAATTTCCTGAAGTCTAGACCTCCGCGGATGGAAACAGCCCATCGGTGCCCGGAGCTGCGGGGCAGACCATTGCATGCCGGCCACGTGTTGGCGCCGGTTCATTAACCGGAGAGGACTCCACCCCTCGGGAGTTCGGACCTCCGCGGGCCGGCAAAATGCATCGGTGTCGCTTCTATGAGCGGCCGGACTTACAAGCTTCACCGCTGTTGTGCGTGAGTGAAAAGAAAAGGATGTCGAGTGGAAGCTCTTCGGCTCTCGAGTGCTGCCAATAAGTAGTTTGTTCATGGTGAAACTGGGACACTGTAGAGGCCAGTGGCGTAGTCAATGGAGTGAGGGGCGAAGGGAGTTAAAGGTCGGTTAGCCGAGGTTCCAAATTAACCGATGGTCAGCGGCTTCCATCCATCGGTTACCGGATAACTCATTAACGGAATATGGAGACCAAATCGAATTGTGTGGAAAAGTTGGCACAGGATCAAAGCAAGAGCCTGGCTCGAGGAAAAAAAAAAAAATTGGACGCGAATATGGAAGCCATGCCATTTGAAAGGAAACCCGCGACTCGTGACTGTCGATTAATTTGAAGCGTGACCACTCCACATGAATCCGATAGGCGTCCATCCCGTGACTTGCTTTCTTTCGTCTTCAGCATGCCTGCAAGCGTGGAAGGAGTCGTATGCGTAGACAAGAATCTCGTTCGCAAGAATCACGTTCGCGAGAATCATGCAAGAAAGAAGAAAGGTAGTGCAGAATCCACGTATCGAAGAAAAAATGTATCCATTATCCTTAATTTAGCTGCGCGAAGCTCAAGTCCACATAGGCAAGAATTGGCATACGAGTCTGAAGTCACGTACGCAGGAAAGCCTGCGAACAAGAATCACCTAAGCTAGAAACCACATAGGCAGGAATCACGTAGGGAAGAAATGGGCAGCAGAGAATTCCGTATGCAAGAAAACACGTACACAAGAATACGTGTAGGCAAGAAACTTCGTGAGAAAGAAAATTTGTCAGAAACTTTTAGAATGTACGATGAACGTGGAACCTCTTCTGAAAGGTAATGGGAATGAAACATGACACGAAGTGCATGCTGGTTTCATTCCAGCGCTTTTAAGTCACTGCTCCATCCAGTGGGGCCCCCCTCCTAATATTTGTCTTTTGGATATTGTTGCTTAATCGCTTCCAAGAGCATTGCTTCTTTCTCTATTCCCAACACGTATAAAACACGACACGCAATCGCCTGACTGGATTCTGTTGTGTATATATTGATATATATGTGTGTGTGTGTGTCTGTGATAACTCTTAAAATGATGCCTGCAAAGAGGAAAAAAAAAAATCATCTGAAATGCATAAGCCTCTCAATAAGGAGAATCAAAACCTTTAACTTGAACAAATCTAACACACTCATTCCCTATATATATCGTGTCTACCCCAGACAACCTCACGTGAAAGGCACATGCACACACCTCCTGAAACAAACTTGGCAAATAATCTAAGACTGTAACATGAAAAGGTTTTTACATTTTTTCCTACTGGAAATGCAGAGAATCAATAGTGCTCACTTCAAAGACTTCATTCAAGACTAATACATCACAATAAATTCAGGATTAATACACCACAATAAATTCAGGATTAATACATCCCAATAATTCAGGATTAATACATCACAATAAATTCAGGATTAATACATCACAATAAATTCAGGATTAATACATCACAATAAATTCAGGATTAATACATCACAATAAATTCAAGATACAACAGCGTACAGGCCACCAAACCCTTTGCATCAAATCATTTCCTCCTGGAGGGTTAAATTCATACTTATCTCCTGGGATCCTCCTGTGCTGAAGGCATTGCTGCCGATGGTGATGCACCATGATGTGCCATGGGCCCCCGAATCTGAGGCATCCCAAATCCCACTTCATCAGCAGGCTGAAGGCGATACTTGGGTGGCGGTGCCTCCTCATCCCCACCACTCTCCCTGGGAACCACCAATGAAATGTAGACATGGTTCACACCTGCCACCTCGTCAGAATCCTTCTTCCCGAGCTTCACCCAACCCGACACCCACCAACCGCGATCTTTCCCGTTGTGGAATGCCACAATGGCACGCACCACTCGACGCAGCTCGATCACGTCGATCCTCTCCGTGCCTCCCTGTGAGAAGATTCATGGCATCACCACAACCATAGAAGACTTTAACCTCATAAATCACACCATCATACAACTCCATATTAAGCTAGAAAAGAACCTTTGACTTTTACTCAACATCCTCATGCATAATTCTGAAAGATTCATCTTTATCCACATGGCCCTCATCCTGTCAAATGCTAGGAGCTGATGTGCTCCTCATTTCTTGAGACTTACATCCAAAAGGACTTCCTCGATGAAAATCCTTGAGAACTGCAGGGAAGTGAATCGGTCGCTCATGTTAGGGAGAGCGGCCACCTTCAAATATGTCCCGATAGCCCAGGCATCAAGGGGACCCGTCTTAATACAAGGGCAATCCTTGCCACCCTGACGGTCACAAAGTGTGCCGGAACACGTGACATCGATTCCTGAATGACAAATGAATCAAAGAATGTAAATGAAATGACAAGGAAGTCGGGAAATTCTTTCCACAATGAGAGCCTTCAGACACAAGTTATAACGCACCAGGCTTGATGACCCCAATTTCAGGGGCAAATATAAAAAATGCCTGCATAGACATTTCTGCAGTTGTTCCCGCAGGGCACTCCTTCCTCAGGTACGTGCCTGGTTTCCCAAGAAAGGGAATGAGGGGGTCTCCAGTGGTCACTAGAGGCACTCCACTCACTTCCTTCCCCAGGAATTCAGGCTCAAAGACAGCCACATGAGCCCCAATGTGCAGCTGGTCGCCCAGCTGGAGCAAGTTGATCGTTTCCACAGATGTCTTGGTGACGATGGCAAAGAGACTTGCCTCCATCACATCACTAAAAAGTAAGCAGTCACCACTTATTTCCTCCAATGGAAGCAAGATGGGAAAAATGAATGAAACTACCAATTTGCTACAACTCCACAAGTACAATCAAGTACGAGCATTGCATTTTGTATAAAAGTCACCTTTATGTACTATCATAAATTCTTCTCTCTAATCTAATATCCTTCTCATCATTTTTATTTGTTTCTGCAAATCATACTTCCATTTCACCCCTGCAGCAACTATTCTAAGGCATAGAGAGAAAATCACTGCACATACATAACACAACCTTCTCTGTTCTGCTTAAAGAGTGTTCAGGGACTACATCCAATTCAACACTTCATCCACACATTGCTCCAAAAGAGGAAGCAAACATTCTGCACTCACTTCCCAAACTGACCACACCATACCTCTTTGCCCTATTTTCAGATGAATCTCCACACTCCTTTATTCACAAACTCTTAATCACAACAGAAACTTCCTCACCCTGAACCATCCCATGGCAGAATTGCAAACAACTAGCAAAATCTCATCATGTTCACAGTTCAGGACTGACATTTCTTAAAACCCATTATTCACTCAAATTTTGGTTTCACATCTGACAGAAATCCAATCCCCTGCAGGACAATGTGCATCAACAGAAACACACCTAACCCCCTTCAACACACAAAAGCATCCCTATCAACTACCTATGCTTCTTGATTTCATTCACCTAAAAGAAGGCCAAGATCCATACTCTCTACCATGAAATACATCCATCCATACATGACTGACAAAAAACACAAGAATGAGACTCACCGGCAATAGACGATGCGGTGATACAACGCATTCATCTTAGCCATCTTAGAAGTGCCGCCCTGAAAGCTTGTCCTTACTATGGCCAAGGTGTTGGTTGGCTTCACAATGTGAAGGACTTCAGCCATCAGGCGCCTCATCTCTTGTGGTTCACCTGCCGACTCCAGTTCAGACAGTCCAATGCTTTCAACCTCCCCGGAGAGCACAAACCTCACAGCACCAAGTTTATCACTGTGCAACACCTTGTTGAGTATTGCACTCATGGTACACTGTCACAAACCTCAAATCCAAGCACAAAATCTAGAATGAAGCCAAAATGAAAAAGTCAAACATGAATAAAACACTGCAGATCAAGCATAAAAAGAGGAAAACAAAACAACCAATAGAAAAACATAGGCAATCATGGGCCAGTACTGCTAAAGACATCCACTGCACCACCAATCGACTCCTGTCGTCATGACCGAGGAATCGATTGAAACATGCCTCCCAACAGAACCTTGTGAGCAACAACACTAAATCTCTGAACAGAACTCCAACATGTGACAACCCAGTCCCAGGCACAAGTGTACCAATGGAGTGGCAATGAAGGA